CAAACAGAGCTAAGTGGATTGATTTCTTGAAAGGTAGGTTAGATAGTATTCTTTTGTATTATTTTTCCAAAAAATTGGCAGAAGAATTATAAAATGGGAAATTTCAATTTGACATCTTTTATATGTAGTCACTTCTGTTAAGTATTGTTAAATATGAATGGGAAAGCAATGAAAGAAATTTGTTGCTGTTCATCTTTGGCACAGTTCGATTTGAAGAAAGTCCCTTTAGTACAAAGCCCTTGCTAGCTTTAAGATCCAGAGATGTCTGAGCATCCTCTACGTAACAGCGAACGTTATTTCCAACTATGATTTATTGTATTTTAGTGTCATTGAAACAGCAGCAAGAAGGAGACGACAAAAAAAAATATGTAAATGAACAAGTGGATGGTGAACATCGCTATTTATAGTCCCAGACAGAGAGAGAAAGAGAAAACGGTAGAAATGACTAGTTTTCGACCGTTATTATCATAAAAATACCCATTTAGTAACCGTTACAGAACGAAAAAGAAACGGATATACCCTGGTCGGTCACCAAAAGTTTAAAACAACATACAAGCACATCGATCGCTAGCGACAGAACGGACAAAAAAAAAAGTCTCGAGATCATCATCGTAACGGTTTTTTCAGATCAATTATTATTATGTTCGGAAAAAAGTAATTAAATAAAAACTTTTATATTAGAAAAAAGAAAAAAATATCATAGACTTCAGAAAATGAATTATTTGGTAATTGTACTTGATAAAACGTCTGAATTTCAAAATAACATAATTCAATAAATAAATAGAAATATATTCGGACAGATTTCGGAAAAAAAAACGTTAGAATTTTTTAACATAGTAAATAACTAAAAATTTTTATTGTTAGAAACTTAAAAAATAATTCACTTAAGAAAATGAATTGTTTCGCAATTTTTTTCAACAATGATGGGAATGTCAAATTCATATAAACTACTCCAACGAAAAACAAAAAAAACATATCTCAGAAGAGATGTTTTGAAGAGGAATTTGTATTTTTAGAGCAAGTAATTAAAAAAAATTTCAGTTGAAAAAATATCGTGCACATCGCTAAGTGAAATTTTTCAAAATATGTTCTGATACAAACGGGGATTTTCAAAATAATATAAGTTGAGTAAACGCTTACAACCATTTACGCCAATCGACGAACTCAAATAATTCTCTGTCACAAAGCAGTTTTTACATTTTTTGTCCAAACTCAGAAACAATAGTAGGCAGCAGGTTTTCGTTTTTTTTCTTGTTTCTTTTGAAGGCCTGTATGTTTTTAAGAAAATCTAAGTGAATTGAATGTCTACAATTGTTTTATGTTAATATATATATTTATATCTTCAGGAAAGTTTCAACAGATTGAAAAATTCTTGAATGTTATAATGATAGAGGAATAAAACATTACAAGAGATTAAAATATGAAAAGGATTTCAATAAATTCACAAAATAAAGTAATTTTAAAACACTCAGTGATACTGATATCTTTTTTTTTTGACAACTTTTCTTCAGCTTAAGTTATTTCTATTCAGACTCAATCTTTTTGATAACTATATCAATTGATCTAATTGTTCCTTCTCTGTCTATGATAGGTTGATATAAAAATGTTAGCTACAATTCAAATTATTTAATAACAAAAAAAAAAAAAAAAGAAATAAAAGTCTAAAAGACTTTATCACAGCTGCACCAAGAAAAAACAAAAGACAAAAACCAAAAGCAAACCACCGAAGACAAACGACCAAAGGGCCAAGCACCAAGAGGTCCCAAGGACGGACCAAGCAAACAAACAAACGAACAAAAGAAAAACAACAAGAAGAACAAAAAGAAAAAAAACCAAAGAAAAGCAAATTAAATGTTATTAATATCAAACTGATTATAATCAGGATGATCAGCTGGTTGTTGTTGAACTGTTGTTGGCGCTGGAGGAGCTGGAGCAGGTGGAGCAGCAGCAACAGCAGCAGCCAAAGAAAACGGGTAGGTGTTGACCGTAATGCGGCTAAAACAAAAAAAAAAAAAGAAGATATAATTAGATATATTTAATGAGAAATTATTTTTACCTGGCACTCGTTACAACGACCACACCACTAACACCACCTTGTAACGAGCCAGCCGCAAAGAAGAAACGATATTGTTGTTGTAGTTGTTGTTGTAGTTGTTGTCGTTGACGGCGACGACGATTACGAATTTGATTACGTATTACGCTGGAAAAAAAAGAATGAAATATAAAAAGAAAATGAAATGAATAGAAATAATTAAAATTAATTATTTTTGTAATATATTGTATCATATATGACAGAAAATGGATATTATAACTTTTTAAAATTATTCCTAAATATTTTGTTAGAATATTTCTTTACATAAAAAAATAATCTTCTACGAAGTAGAAAAAATTCGTTTCATGTTTCAAAAAAAATTTGATCATTGAACAAGGAAAAGAAACTGGAATATATGTACAAGTGTTTGTATTTAATTATAAAATTTTTCTTCGACTATTTTTTTACAGTAAATGTTTAATGCATACTATCTATTTTTTGTCTTATAAAATATTATTTTGCATTTTTTTTTCACTAAAATTGTAACAGAAGGTGAAAATAGTATGTGATTATTTCAAATTATAATTTGTAGAAAATAATATAACAAAGATATAAACACATCCGTGCGGATAAATTTTAAGAACAACAGAAAGTAAATATATTCAGCAAATTAAAATATGAGATAAAAGACCAAATAACGGACACATTATTTTATTTTATATACATATGTATGAGAAAATGAGCCAGTACATTTTAATATACTTGTAAATCAATTAGTTTGATGAAATTTTTTGAAATTCCAATCAAGTTAAAAAATATGAAGGATGAAAGAAGAAACGAGATTTTCTTATTTTAAAGAAAAAAAAATTAATTTCTGTAAGAACTATTTCTTTTTTGAAAATTTAAAAAAAAAACATTCAATGTTATCCATATTTGAATAATAATTCATATTTTTATTATATATATATACTTTAAATAATAGTCATTTCTTTTCAATAATTGCCCAGCTATTTTTTTGAATTATCAAATTTTTTTATTCACCTGCTATATATTATATCTAATTTTTTTTCCGAAAAACGTAAGTAAGATTCTTATTTCCATTCTCAATTATCTATAAGTCTTAATTTTTTTTGTTAATTAAAGATAAAAAGTTGACTAGATTTCACAATTTATTATTTACAAAGAGGAAAAAAAAAGGAGCAAATTACAAAACAAAAACAAGAAACAAAAGCAAAAGGCCGAAAAAGACGAGGCCAACAAAAAGCCGAAACCACCAAAACAACAAGTCGGCCAGCATCGCCACCATCATTTCGATTCTTGATAATCTATAAAAAAAAAAATATAGTAAGAATATGTTTATTAATTTTTTTTTAATTGACTTACGAAGCTACTTGGATAGGATGAGGAGGAGGACAATTGTGAAGGACAACGATAATGATGATGTGGTGGTGGATAACAATAGGTTGTTGTTGTTGTTGTTGTAGTCGTCGATGTTGTTGACGATGATGATGGTGGCGATGCCCTAAATTGAAATTTATAGATGTTAATTCATAATTGTAAAATAACTTACGACGAAAAGGAACAGGAAACATTGATGATGATGAAGAAGGTGAAGAAGACGTTTCTAGATTTGAAAAATAAATGTAATGTATTCAAGAAAAATGAACACTATTTATACTTACGAGAGATAGAAATTAGTTAAGCCAGGGTTCAAAAATAGAAGATAATCACTGGAATACAGAACGAAAGAAAAAAAGCGGGTATTTCCGAAGAAGCCAATAAAAATAAAGTGACAATAGAGGGCGCTCGTACACAGTCATGTTTGAACATATTTTTCTAAATCATATTAATTTACTAATTTTTTCACAAAAAAATCACATTCCATCTATTTTAAAGTAAATTATTGTAAAAAACGTAAAATATTTCTGATGTTTTTATTTTCACATATTTTTTTATGTTATGTTTTTCTAAAATATTTTTACTTGTAACCATATTTTTTTTTTGCATGAATTCGATAAAATTTATTCGGTAAATTAATTTATATTTTATTGTTATTTAATTGTTATAAATATAATAAAATGAGCAAAAAACAAAAACACATTAAATTCAATGCCTGATTATTTTTTTTTTCTTTATTTATTTTTTTTTTAAATAGTAATAGAGATTCGAGGTACTAAAAAAACAAAGCTAGCAATAAACAGAAATAATACGATAGAATTTAATTAAATTATATATCCAGGGTATGACAGTTATTTGAAACGAACCGCATATAAGAACGAAATAAGCAGGTCACGAAAAAAAATAAGACGTAGATGGATAACCCTTAGTGTGCGAATATAGTAAAAATAAGTTCAGTTAACCAAAAGGTCACCAGACAGTTGAACTATAAGTAGAGAACGAAAAATAAAAAAAATTAAAATTAAATAGTTACCATTTTCTGTTCATTTATATCCGTTCAAGTACAGTCATACAATCAATAAAGTAAGTAAATACTGTTCATACTTTTACACCAAGGGATAGGGAACTATTTCATCAGACCGATCTTTACATTTAATTTACTAGTAACAATATAAATTTCTCATATATTCCAAAGGCATTTCTATTCTGATATATTATCTTCTATTAGAATTTTTTTTTTTTCTAGAAATGTCCTTCAATAAAGCTCAACTTATTCAATCATCATCAGCATCACGTGATAATGAATATGATTATCACATCACTGATGATGTAAAAGTTAAAGTTAATGATGTAATTCGTGATAATGATTATCGATTATTTTTTGATACAAATTTATCATTCGATCATCTTATGTTTCTTCTCAATAATCGTGATTCAATTGAAAAAGGTTTTATTGATTTTGCAATTATGCAAATAAATCGAATAATTCCTGATCAATCTATTCGACAAGTCTTTTTATCTAAGATTGCTCATTTTGTTGAAAGTCAATATGTTGTTCGTAGTGATACACTCGTTTCTCGGCAATTGGCTTTTTATCAAGGTGACGACGACGATGATGATTATGATGCTGATGAAGATACAATATCTGATGATGAATCAGAATATGATGATGATCTCGAAAATGACTTGCTCGATGAGCTAGAATTTGCTCATTTTCTTTTCGTGTCTCGTTACCGACCTGGTGATTCGTAAGGAAAACGAATTTTTTTTGTTATTTTTTTTTGTTATTGTTTTGTTTTGTATTTTCTATTTGTGTTTTCATATGAATAAATATATATGAAGTAAATTTGAAGTACGATAAAAAAAAAAAAGATTTAATATTATTTAATAGAGATCATAAATCCTTGCATGATTTTCGAAAATTATTTCATTTCATTTTGAAGTTTTTTTTTTAGAGATTGCTAAAAATAAAAATATAAAAGAAGAAATATATTAGTTATTTGAGTTTTTTGAATTTATTTTTTGTATGCCATTTCGTTAGAAGCTCAAGCATATACTATTGTTAGATTAGTTATAATTTATTTATTCTCAAAACTCTTTTATTTTTTAGTTCATAAATATGTATATGCATCAAATCCAAATCAGTCTTTTTTTAATTTATAATAGAACATATAGACTAAGTGTTCAACTGCTATTACACAAATAGACAAATTATTATTAACATGTTTTTTTTTTCATATTTGTTTCTGAAATACTCATATTTTTGAGCAGTTTATTCGAATAAATCGCCTAATAAAATATTCCAATAAAATTCATGAATTCTTATACGAATAGTGCTCCCATCTCTGCTACTTGTTATCTTATTTCCCCTATAAATGAAATACTGAATAAAAAAATTTGTTTTTAAAGATATTTATATATAAAAGAAAGATAAAAACATTATATTATGCATTTTAACTTTACATAAAAAGTGAAAAGAAAAATATTCTAAATGTTTATGTTAAACAAGGTTTCACGTATTTACTATGTAATTTTGAGAAAAAAATGTTACTTTCATGAAATTATCTTATTCGTTTATTTTTATATAGGTGCATATATATTTTCACATATATTTTTTTCTCATTAAATTTATCAATTTTAGTAACCAGTTTTTTTTTTGTTGAATATTGTACAGTATTATATTAAACTTATAACTGGAAAATTCAGTTACAATTAAATTTACCTCCGGTTGATTTTTTTCAAAGAACTTCTCCAATATCTTTCTTATTCAAGAACATTCAAGTCGGAAATACTTTTCTCAAACATATTTCTTTTTTTTAGTGCTATTAGAATCTATTATATACTACTATCAACATTGTCATGCATGTTTTGATATGTGTTTTTCTTGCCATCTTTGATTTAAATATGATTGAATTAGTTGTAAAACAACTTTATTTTTACAAAAAAAGTGAAACAAAAAATACAACTTATTTTCAAAAACAAAAAAAAATATAAAAAAAAATAAAAAGAATATAAAATTTATTTAATATTGTCAATTAAAAATTGACTATAATCATGAAACTCTTCTGTTTCATGCTTGACCACAGCATTACCACCACCAACACCATCACCAACTTGAAGACGACCACCAAGACCACCAACAATCGGTGAAAAATTCACCGGAACCGGTGATACCACTTGGACCACCATGGGGCTAAAAAAAACAACAATTACTAAATTTCTTCTTTTATATAAGTTCGTGATCTTATACCTCGATGACTTGATGGAAAACGTCACCGAAACCCCTCTTATTGGGATCACAATTCGTTCTTCGAAACTTTGTTGTTGTTGTTGTGCTGTTGGTGATGGTGATGTTGGTGGTTGTTGTCGTCGTTCTATTTGCAAAGAACGACGATCTTTTTTTGAACTTTTTCGACCTATAATTACAAGAAAAAGTAAAAATATGATATATGAAAAAAAAAGAAAAAATCTTTTTTAAATGAACGTTTCATTAGATATGTGAACGACGGGAAGATGAACAAAATAGAAATGGGGAAAATATTTCCCTAACATTTATTTTAAAAGAGGACCACCACATGTAGCCAATCATAAAATAGGACCAATAGAGGGCACTCTCATATGAAACTCATATTCGTTCAAAATATATATTATTGAAACGATAATTCGTAGAAAAAAAAATATTATGTATATCAATTCACAGAATGTTTTAAAACATTCGCTTTATTTATTTCATATAGAAAAAAAACAACAAAAAAAAATGAGAATAATCTATTGAAGTTCTTCGAAACTATTTGTTTCCCACATTCCCATGTTGAACAAAACATCGCTAATTGAGGGTGATGATGGTGATCGAAGATTAACTAGTGGTATGAGTGGTGTATGTCTGTCGGGAGTTGTATTTGTATCAATTGGAGATGATGGTGACGATGGTGACGGGACAGCGGCTGTTGTTAAACCAAACATGGACGGGTCCAATACAATTTTTGTATCAATGGGTCTAAAAGATTCACATATGATAGAAAATAGATGAAAAAAAAAGAGTCATTTTTTTATGTATATTTGTTTCTCATTTTGTTAAGAATTCGAAAAAAAAAATATATATATACCCTTCGGACTTGATTGAAACTTCAATATTTGATGTTGCAATATCTTTGGAAATTTCAATTATTTGTGAAACTTTTCGTTCACGTCGATGATAACGACTTGAAGATCGTCGATAATGATGTTGTTGTTGATGTTGTCTAGAATGGTGATGACCTAAAGACATAGAAATCTAAAATATGTTGTTCATCTTTTTTTTTCTTACGTGGCATATCGAGGAAATATTTCGTGATGAAATAGATGAACTGTATACTGGTGTAGGTGTTGAAAACTTACTGTTTGGATGTTTCTAGTGTTTGTGATTGTTTGTAAATGAATCTGATTCCATTATTGCTGCACTATTTATATTCGAGAAATGTTATATGAAATAGCTAACTAGGACATTCGACTTCATATAGTGTGTCTTTTTTTATTTTCATGCAATAGTAACAAATAACATGTGGGACAGACACGATAAATTAAATATATATATCGATTTATAATATTGTCTCATACGACGATGTCCTTTGATAGACATATATGATGGTGTTTTGAACTTTAAACTATGAACAACAAACCCTGGATGATGATTCATGTCTTGTAATGACATTCAAACATAGGCAAACAAATATTAAATAATAAAAAAAAAAAACTAATGCATTACTAAAATACCATGTAAACTCAATTTCTCATGAATAAAAAAAAAACTTTAAAACGAAATTTATCTTAAAAAAATGCTTTGCAATTAATGAGAAGATTTTCTTTTAAAATTCATTCAGAAAAAATTTAATTTAAGATGAACTTTTCCATGATGTGTAGAATGCTCTAGAATATTCTTAGAAATAAACAGTTTAATGACCTTTCACCGGAGACAGACGTTATATTAAAAGAATTAATTATTTTCGTTTAGCACACATGATTCTCCAGGCAACATAGTGAAACGAAAAATGAAAAAGTAAAGGATATTTCGCAGAAAGAGGGATGATCGGAAAATTATTTTGGTATTTTTCTTCCTATGTATCCCGAACTATAAATACTACGGAAAGTTCATTTTCATTTCATTTTATTCAAATTACAGCTTCTTGGTAAGATTCTATTAAGATATCTATTTATTTAAATCTAGTTCACTTTATATTACATTTAGGATGGTGCCTTCATTTATTCATATTTTTCCAGCACAGACTGATGACTGCTTTTGATATTCAATTAAATTTTTTTTTGGACTACTTTTAATTCACTTTATATTCTTCTATATAGATTTACTTTAGACGATTCATTATTTTAATCGAAAATGTTTAGAAATTCATGGAACTGTGAAACTTGCAATTGTTTATACGAAGAAAACAATAGTTTGATCATGGATTACAATTTAAATGACGAGAGTAAATTTTTTTTTCACATATATAATCAGTGAATTCTTACTTATACGTTTTTTTTTCAAGATGCATTCAATCATGAAACACTTTCCATACCTAATGAATTTATTTCGTTCAAATTATTGGAAACAAACGACGTCTATCATGAAGAACAAGATGTACCTTACAAAGAAGAATATAAACCAGTGAGTCGATTTCTTACTAAATAAGATTTTGTCATCAAAATTAATTATTTCATTGTTGTTAATTCTAGGAAAATCATAATGATGCTCATGAAGAAATTATGACCAGTCGAAATATGTTATTTGGCACGGACAATATTGAACTTCCACCTTCAATTATAAATCTTCTTGACGATTTTCCAAATTTACCAACACCAGAATCATTTTCAAATTTATTTCAAGAAGTTTTTCCTACCATTGATATGACTGGTACGAAAAAAAAAATTGAAAATTTTTTTTACAATTTTTTAAAAAATTTATTTCATAGAAACGACAACAGATACAACGGCTGTCGATGAAAGTAATTATTTCATTTTCACTATTATCTAAAATTTTTTTTTCTTTTGATTGAGGTACAACACCGAACGATGTCGATCAGTCAGACCTAGATTTGGCAAATACAAATGAAACATCACGTCGATCACAAGTCACCATCGTCATGTTGCCATTTCAAATTTCAACATTAATCAATACTCATTCGTATCCACCTACAAATATGGTCGGCTCAATTAGTGAACATGACCGACCTTACTCGAAATATGGACACTTAGGTAAGTAACGAGATGTATTCATGGAATTTCATATTGTCTTTTTTTTTCTTATGTAAATTTTAGATGCAAATATTTTGCATTACCGATTTTGTTTCGATATTTGTGGTGAACGAACATTAAGCAAGCGGCTAGCAGACAAATGTCGTATTGCAAGAAAAATGTTTGCAATTATTTGTCATACAAATATCAGTAGTAAGAAAAAAAATTTTTTTGACCTGGAAATATATCTGATAAATTTTTTTTTATTATTTTAACTACAATAGAAGAAGAGATTATTATGGAACTATTTCGGCAATATCCGTTGGCATTAATACAATATATTTGTATATCGTCTAATGATCGTCAACATAGACCAAGAAAAACAGCAAACATGCGGTCCACTTATTATATACAAATTATTTTCAAAAGAACTTTAAACAAGAAGATATGGTTTTTAGATGCCGTAACTGGTAAGTTAATTTATTTATAATAGAAATTTATTTTTTATATGAATCATTATAGGTGACGAATGCAATTATGATGTAACAAGTAATGATATGGCGTGGAACGAGTTTATTAAAAAAAGTAATTCTCTTTTAAAATTGAAAGATGCTCATTCTTCCACATGTTTTTCTTTTTTTTCTAGATCGTAATTTCATAGAAATTGGCGAATTTCTATCAAGTAAAATTCGTTCACGACCTGAAATGTGGTCTTCATGTGAATTTATTCGTAGCCAAAAAAACAAAAGAAGAAATTAGCCACTCCTGAATAGTCATAAAAAACACAGTTGTTTTTGTTTTCTTTTTCTTTTTTGTTATTTTTTTGAATTGTTTCTATTTTTTGTTACATGTTACTGATATTTTTGAATAAATAAGTAATCCCACTGATGGGAGAAAATGAATTGAACTATTGCAATTACTAAAGCAACAGATGGTTATTTCACATCTTATTCTTCCTATTTTTCTCATAATGAATATAAGAATTTAAATCGATATCAATATGAACGGAAACTTAGGCTCAGTCTTATTATTTTACGATATTCTATTTCGTAAATTTTGTTGAATCAAATCAAGCTTTTTAATTTTCTTGGAACGAAATAAAAATTCGTTTTTTTAAATCTGCAATTCTATGATTCAATAGAAAAATATAGTTTTTCAAGACACTGTTGCATTTGTGAAAACTTATAAAAAATTATTAAGACTTTGATTTATACTCAAGAATTTATTTAGAAAAAAATTAAGAATAAAACAGGCACTTTATTACGATGCAGAAAATCGAATAGCCTATTTTCATGAATATCAAAAAAAAAAAAAAAATTAAGACGTCCTTTTTTTTATTATATTGTTATATATATATGATATCGTCTGTCCTTGGACATAGTCATATGTATAATTATGCCGTGACCTGTCCTAGTATAGACTGATATAGATGACAACGCCGTCGTATGTCCTTATACAACGTTATATAGATGAATTCGTCGTGCACTGTCCTCTTATCGTCTGTTCAGTGTTAGGACATACCACGGCGTATATCACTTTAGTATATAAAGGGACGTTTTGCTTGTATTAATTTCATTTCATTCCATCCATTTCAAAAGCAACAAGCATTACCAATTTACTTAGAAGACACAATCTTCATTACTTCAACAACTTCGATAATTATTCAACATTATATTATACAAATCAGGTTAGTTTCAATATTTTTTTATTTAGTACACAGTGTAATACTAGAATTCTTTTTCTGCTATCTATTTTAAAAAATTCTGTTTTGAAGGTAACTATTTTTTCTTTAGTGTCCTGAACAAATTTTTCTTGATTTTCATTAATGGAAAGAAAACGAGTGCCTCTCGATGATATGAATGAAAAAAAATTTATTCGTACTAATACATTGATTTGGGTAACGTGTTTTTTTTTTTGTAAATATTCCAAATTAGAATATCGTTTAAAATAAATTTTTTTTTTACATTTAAAATATATATACATATAGTCGAAAACGAATACCAAAGAGAATGTTATGGAGAACAGGGAAATTATTGATATATGTTCACCAACAACAGACATTAATCATGGAATCACATCTGTTGAAATGAAACAACGATTTTTAAATCTTGATCGACGATTATGTATTTTGCCATGTTATCCAACTTATAGTGCTAAACGAGATGAAGGTCAACCTTTATTAGCAAATATTCCAGGTATGTAATATTTTTTTTTTTGAATAAAAAAATTCTCTCGTTTATTTCTGATACTCGTAGAAAATCAATTAACTACAACAGAATTATCATATCGACGTTCCGGTGCTTTCAAACCAGCATGTATTATTGTCAATAGTCTTTCGAATATGCCATCATTTTTACGAGAAAAACACAATATGTATTTTGGTGATTTACTTGAACGCCTTAAAGTTGATTTATCTATTTTGGATTATAATTATACACGTCTTAATAAATATATGAAAATGTTAGCATATGAACAAATTCGTGCTTTTAATCTACAACCATATGCAATACCACAAATTGAAGAAAAAGAATATCCCATTCTTTTAGAATTTTTTTTACAATTTGACGGTAATATTTTATATATATATATATATTTTTTATATCTATTTTATGTTTTTTTTTATTAGTGAATATGTTCTATATGAAAACATGTTCTTTTCGTTATGCTCGACCACGTACATTAAATGAAGGTCTCTTTTGTTTACAAGAACCTGAAGCTCGATATGAATTAGCTGCATGTGGAAACTGTGCCCTATGTTATCCTCAATATGATATGAAATATCGATCAAAGAAATCAGTAGTTGAATTTAGTCAAGCACATAAACATACTTTTCAAAATGGTTATCAAGCCATTCTCAATTGTTCTGCAGTAAGAATAGTATTTGAGCACTATTTTTTTTTTTATTTTTTTTTCATTTTAGACATGTCATACACGCAATATTATATATGCTTTAACATGTCCATGTGGTCAATTTGAATATATTGGTACCACTGCTAATACTTTACATGATCGTTCAATAAGTATTAAAAAAATCTGTATTTATTTTGACCCACTATTTTTTTTTCATAGAACATCGTGAACATGGAAATAGAATTATGCACGAATTTCTATTAGGTCAAGCGAATATTCTTCGAGAATTAACACGAGGAAAAACCACAGAGTATGTTCACTATGATAACAAGTTTGGTATATTTTTTTTTCTGAGTTCTAGAACTTTAGTGAAAGATCGAATGAAACTTTATCAACATTCAGCAAGATGTACGGTGGCGATGCAAATTTTTTTGGATGCAAATCCACAATATTGGCGATTTGTTCCAATGACATTAGAAGAATCACAAAGACCAGAACAACAAACGGTAGAAACTCTTGTAATTTCGGATGAACCAAGTCATCATGCACGAACACGACGTGATTGTGAAATTTGCGTGGATGCTGTACCAAAACCCTCGAAAGGATTCGTATTCTCAAATCGGCAAATCATGTTACAAACTCAATTTTTTCAAAAGTTACAAGATAAAAAATTGCCAAATCTAAATATAGATTTATATAATGCTACTATTGTAGCTGTTTGTAAGTAAAGAAATAATTGTTTTTTTTTTAATTTTTAAAAATTTTTTTAAGTACCCGAAACAAGTTCCGATATGTTTCGTTATACAATTGAATCGTTATTTATTACTTATGCTGAAACTAATCTTAATACAGTTGGAAATGTTTTAAATGACAATCAAACTATGGAACAATATCCAATGAATGATCCTTGGTTTATTCGAAGTAGTCAGTGGTGTGAGGGATTAGTGCGTCGTCCTCAACCAAAAAATATACTAGCCAAATAGAAAGTCGAGAACACTGTTTTTTTCTTTTTATTTCATGTTGTTTGTTATCTTTTTTTCTTGTTTTTTTTTTCATGAAAAGCTATATTTTTTGAAATCTGTATTTTTTTTTTAGATTATAAATATTTATCACATTAATGACTGATATGAATTCTTCCAATGATATGCCTATGAATCAACACGATGAAAAATTACAAAAGCAAATGGTAAGAAATAATACAGTTTTATTGTCTTAATTTATTTTTTTTTTCTTATAGAAATATCGAGCGATGTTCGATTATTCAGTGACTCAGCCAATTCATGAACAAAAACCAGAGTGGTCTTCGAAACGACTCGCTAAACTTCAAGAAAGACGACCCATCAAAGTTCCAATATTTATGTTTGTAAATCCTGCACATACAATGAACTGTGGCAACATCAATAATATGACCCAATTCCAACCTAAATGAACTTAAAATTGAGCCTCGACTTTAGTAACCGTTTTTTTTTGATAATAGTTTTGAACTATTACAGTGATTTTGAAGAAATGAGTGTTTTTTTTTTAGTTAAAGTATCTCAAAAGTGAAAACTATCTATGTTTTTTTTTCAGATATCTCTCTCTCTTCTTAACACTATGTCTTCATCACATAATCGTTCTTCAAATACACGTCAATCTCGACCTACACAAACAGTGACACCATTACGTATACAACGATCAGCGAGTGTTCCAAATCGACAATTTATTATAATTCTCACGAATAATCCTGAACTTTTACGACAAACTCGTCGATTTCAACCTGAAGTAAGATACAGAAAGATATTTATTAATTAATTTTTATTATTTGAATGTCTCAAGTGATATAAAAAAAAAGTATTTTTATTATATTTTTTTAGATCCAACGAGATCCACAGCGACAGAGAGGTGCATCTACAAATAACAACAACAATAACAACAATAATCGTGAACTACTTTTGGAAAATTTATTACGAGTAGAATTAAGAGAGGCAGCTACTGGTTATCTTATTCGTACTCGACGCTCATTTCCACTGAATTATGTATTCGATATGTCTGATATTGATACAAGTGAAGAACAGCATTGACTACATCGTACATAAAAGAATTATTTTTTTTTTTTTTTTTTCATGTTTCATATTTTTTTTCACTAGATTAATGAAAACTATTTTCATTAAAAGATATTTTTGGTTTTGAAATTATTTCTTCTAGATTTATAAGAATTCAATATGGCCTCATCTTCACCTCGTAGTGGAATTTCTTTGCGAACAACATCCATTTCGGAACCAAAATATTTTTTGATTACAATAACAAATTTTCCCAATCTTTTGAATCGGACACAAGTCTACCAACAACCATCAAATAATGTAATCGTCAATAAAAATTTTACGAATAACTTTTTTTTCTTTTATAGGAATTACAACAACGACTTCGAGGTGGAATGCTTGTTCCAAATGAACGAATTCATTTTGGTCTAGCTCATTCAGAAGAACATGAATTAATATTATACAATACACTTCGATTTGAATTAGAAGAATGTATTCGTGCCTATCTTCAACGAACTCAACGATTATATCCTATTAATTTAGTATTTAATTTATCAGATATAGACCTACGCCGATAACAACAAAAATTCATTTTTTTTCCAACTTAGTTTGTAGTTTTTCTTTTGTTTTTGTTCTAAGTAAGAGAAATATTTTCTCTAGAAATTTCAGTTGTTACTAATAAAAAACATTGAAATTTAAAGCACATTTCTATTCTTCATTTTATTATTTACTTTTTTTTCTAGATACTATAACACAAGTCAATATTATATTTCATTAAAGAAAAAAAAATCAATGGATTTAAACAAAATTTTAATGCATTTAAACAAGAAAAATCCATCACCGGTAGACAATGATACAATCAAAGTGGAACCTATGGACGTTTCTACAAGTATGGAAGATGACAAGCCACAAACTCATATGCCGACAACATATACAGCTTGTCTTCAACGTCGACAATATTGTTTTATTATTTTTAATAATCCAAAATGGTCTCAAATTGTAAAAAATAAATCATCGACCACAACAAGCCAAGTAATATTTTTCATTAAAAAATATTAGAAAAATCTGCTTCTTTCTATTTTAGCGAGCACCCACAGTTAAACAAGAGCCTGTACAACCTCAAGGAGCACAAGCAACATTTGATTGGCCTACACAAATATTTGTTAAAAGTGAAAACTATGATTCAAAACTCGATGAACAATTCGTCGCAAAATTACGACAACTCATCGATGAATATATGAAACATACATCACGTCCATTTCCATTAAAATATTTTCTTCACCTCACTGATGAATAAAACTTTGTTAAAAAAAAAACATTGTAGTTCTAGATTAAGTTTTTTTTTCGAGAAACTGTACCATTTCTCGTGTATGTGTTAGTTTTTTTTTTGTTTTTTTTGAAAACTTATTTTAAAAAAACTTGTGTCAACTATCACATATCGTTGCTTCTTGTTTTTTTTTTAGATAAAAAATAATATTATTTTTCTACCGAAAAATATGGCAAACACAACTAGAATTGCACCAGTGAAGGATATGTTTGATACAATTGATGAAACAGATGATGGTTTACAATTTTCAACTAATGTCTTAAATCAATTCTTCGGAACGGGACAATTACAAACAACTTTCTATCAAGAGGAAAAAATTGAATATGAAATTCTTAATGACATCGAATCCGTTTTAGTAAGTTACTTTATTTGATATTCTTAAGTTTAATTGAATTTTTTTTCTCTTAGATAACGGAAAGTAAACATGATGAATGTGATGAAGAAGTGATTATATCACAAAAATTAAGTCAATTATCGACAAAAAACAAATCCGAAATCAGTTCATCAATACTTTTCGATAAAAAACGACGCATTAGCTCGACATCAAGTCCCTCGACAACTTCAAAAAAAATTAAAATAAATGATACAACTAGTGACGATGATGATGACATCCATATTCAAAATTTGAAACCGGAAGATCAAATACCAAATTATTTAACTATAAATCATAAAGCATTTGTTCGTATGAGTGAATGTCTTTTGAAAAATGCTCCATCTATAACTATGAGTGATATACAAGAAATGGCTTTATTTGTGCATCATATTGAAGCAAATCGTCTCAAAAAAAATATAACCAATATTTATTTAAAATCGGTCACAGGCACATTAATAGAACCAGAATTAGATTTATATGATGTAGATCGACGAGTATGGCCCATGCAAGTAAAATCTTTAATGTTAAGTAATCAATCTATGCCAGTAACATCAGAAACAACAACAACAACAACAACAACAACAACAATGCCCATGAATCAACCAGATCAACAAACGGCTTGTGAAAAATTAATTAATCAACGTTTAGAAGAAATCAATCAAGAAATAAAATCATATCAAGAAAAGTTATCGACAAAAAAAAATTCTTTAGTTGGATTTACTTTACAAATGAATGAAACTCTACAAAAATTTGTTCAAGAATATGGAATTAATCCATTGGAAATGAAATATCAATTAAAAGAAGCTATTGTCAAGCATGATTTCGAATTAGAAATTCTTGAACGAAAATATAGTTCAGAAAAACCAAATGAATATCAAGTGAAAATTCTTATAAATTAAAGGAAAAAAAATTCTGTGATTTTTTTTCGATTTCATTTAGTTCGAAATTGCGAAACGTCTAACGACAATGAGACGTAATGTTGAAAAATCAAAACGGGCCTTAATGGAATTAAAACAAGGTGTCTTCTTTAATAAATCATCTGTCTCATTCGATTCTATACAAAACTCGACAACGTCGTTGAATGATGAAAAAAATCTAAAAAAATTTTTTAATAAATTTGAATATCAACTTCGATGTAAAAAACTTGATTTAATTGCTTTACATTTACTACAAGCAGAAATAACTTATTATCGATTTCAAGCTGAATTCGATTACGAATTATCTTCGATGTGGAAAAACCATCGTAATTTCGTTAAAGATCACGGAATGACAATATCATTTATTAGTTTACTTGAACAACGTCTTGAAAATATTACAAATCGGTGGAGAGATATTTACAATTATAGAGTTGATTATTTTCTTCAAAATGCATATGATGAATTAAATCATATGAATAAAAATGAAATTACTGAATATGTAAGAATTATGACACCTTCATCTTCAATTTTTATTGATATAGAACACCCATTCAATGACAAACAACTCCAATTATTAAGTCGTGGACCCAGTTATGTACCACCATGTTTAATATATACATCCTTATCTAATGAATCTATGGCTGACATTGTCAAAAAACAATATGCTCCATTAAAACATCAACTCAATACTTTATTTTTAAAAAATAAAATTAATTTAAATTTACAGATGGAAATTCATCAGAAAATGTACAATTTATTTAAAAACTCATTTTCCAAATCAATCCCATCGAGTCTTTCTCAACGTGCATTTTATGAAAAAAATTTAATTGAATCTATTCGAATCTCTCTCAAGAAACATAATATTATATTAAGAAGAACTGCTGATAATATGAATTTATTTTACTTGGGAAACAGAGAAGAATTTGAAAAAAAAGCTGATCGATATTTATTAACATCTGAAGATTATGATATTCTTTTTGATGTGAATGATGTCAATAATGAAAAACCGTTTAATGTTGCTATCCAAGATATGATTGAATCAATGAATTCATTATTAGAACAATTAAAAACACATAAATCTATTACCAATGATTTATATAAACAATTTATGGTTGATCCAAAGAATATCAAAATACCATATTTATATTTTCTACCAAATATATCAACTCTAAATGTATTTAAAAACTTTTATTTGTTTTGTTTTGTTTATGAATTCATATCCATTTAGGAAAATCAAATGTCTTTAGTACCTACTGTTACATCTCAATATAGTGCAACATGGAAAATTGCTAAATATTTAAATAAACTTTTAAGACCGTATGCTGATGGAGTATTACGTTCAACATCATTTACTGATGAAACTGATTTTATTCGAAAATTATATCGTTTTGCGAATGTGGAACATCGTCTTCGTCCATCAACACTATTTTGTACAATCAAAATAACTAATTTCTTTGCATTAGATGAACATAAAGAAATGATCGATGTTATTGGTTATTTTTTACAAGATAATTTAGCAACGAACAAACTTGAACCACTCACGATTCAAACAATTCGTAATCTATTACATTTATTTCTTTATAATAATATTTTTTCATATAAGAACAGTATCTATAAATTCACCAAAGGTAGTCCAAATACACTACTGTTAACAGAAACATTATCAAATGTTTATTTATATATTTGGCAAAAGAAAATATTAAAAGAAGTGAATCAAAATATTGAATTATTTGGAAGGTAGATACATTATTTTTTTTTAAAATAAAATAGATGAATGTTGTGCCTATTGTAGATATAAAGATCAAATTTTCTTTACATGGAGTAAATCAACAGCCATAGCTTTGGAAACATTTATAGAAGAACTTCGAGAAAAAAATCGAAAAGTCCGTTTTCAAAAATTAATTGGTCCAAATGTTTCATTTCTCAATGTTTATATTGAAAATCGACAAGGTCAATTATATACTCGTGTTCATCATGATATCAATATGCCACGTTATATATTACCCTATGTCGTTGGTCACACAAAATCATCGCACAGCGACTGGCTTTTCTTATCTTTAATACGTGCTGTGTGTTATTGTACATCAATTGAAGATTTTCAACAAGAACGAATTTATCTTGAAATAACTTTTTTAATTAATGGTTATTCGGTACTATTTATTGAAACACATGTCAAGCGTTTTTTTAATTATTTTTATGCTGAAAGAATGCGCTTCTCATATAATCAAGCCAGTTATGATAAATTTCGTCAACAATGGTTTCAATTTGTTGAACAACGACAACAATTATCACAACAATTTCAAAAATTAGATGATATGAATTGTTTATTTCAATTCCATTATATTTATGATTTTGGCCCAAAGTGTCGTTTTAATCGAGAATTTCATCAACTTTGGCATCATTACTTTCAACAACATCCAACTTTATCAGAAGATAATTGCAAAATTATACTCAATGCAAAAAATTTTCATTCCTTAAATACTTTATTAGGAATGGATAAACCGTCTGTTAGTCTATAAATATTAGTTTTTTGTTTTTGTTTTTTTTTGTGTTTTGTAGTCCTCAGCTATTCATATATATATATCTATATACGAAATATATTTGTTTTTTTCGACTTGTTTCTTTTTTTGCATTTGAAATGAAACTTCTAGTTATTCTTTTTTTTTTGTTTTAGATTAAGTTTACTTTAGAAATATAATTAGTCGGGAACATGAACTATTAGTATGAATTGTAACTTAGTGATGTTAAATGAAACATATCTTCTACTCAAAAGTTTAAAATATTTATCAACACTATCCTTTTCAATACTTTTTCTAATAGAATATTTTGTATTTATTTCTAAATTGTTTTTTTACATTTTTTTAAATAAAACTTTTTCTATAACTTTTTTAAAGTATTTGCTTTTTTTTTCTTTCATATTTTTTAGAAATATTTCTTCAACATTTACTCTTAATTCCAACTATGTCTAGTCAAGTAAATGAAAAACATTCAGGACGACAAGTTTCACAAGGTATTGAATATATATGTATATGTATACACATTAAATTTCTTTATTATTTATAATCTTATTTAGAAATCAGTTTTGAAACAAACAACTACAATGGTCAAGAACAACAAACATTAACACAAGTTAGCAACTTAATCTTTTTTTATTTAACATATGTGCATTTTTCTTCTTATAATAGACATCTGTACGATCAACTGGTTCATCATCTGTAGACAGTGAAACAAATGAGCGCTATTTGAGTCAACAAATTCGTACAACACAAGTGACTGGGAATTTAATTGATTGCATGGAATGTTATGTACGAATTCCACGTTGTACGGTAATGATTTTTACTAATAAAAATATAATATAAAGAAGCAACCTTTTTTCGTTTTCAAAAAATTAACTTTTAGTTTGAACAACAAGCATGCGATTTAAATGGAAGCACGAACCCAGATATGATACAACAATTACAAGAATTTCGTCAAGAAAAAGAACAAGCTTCACAAAAACAGTATAATAGAGGAAAAAATGAAACTGTTCAACAAAATGAAGATGGAATAATTGATGACTCAAATCCTAATTTAAATCATGAAGATGACATGATGAGTCTTCTCATTGTTGATTTACCATGGTCCCAAACTTCACAACTCAATTCCACAAATGATGAGCACCATCGAAAGATATAAGTCTTCATTCTTATGATATGTGACCTGCTTCTTTAAAAGAACTTATAGACAATTGTGTCGATCTTCACACACATAGAAATGATTTTTTGAAGTTTTTTTTTCTGTTTTATTATTGTTATTTTTTTTTCATGGAAATATATATCGATATATATATATATGAATAAAATTGATATTAAAAAAAATATTTAGTATATGCATTACAATAATATATAATAAAAATAGATACTGGATGAAAAAATATTAGAAACAGAGAGAAAAATAAACAAATTGACCATGAATTATTCATCACAGGTGATGTAGACGCCACTCCGTCTGGGATGTAAATATAAACATTAACATAGATACATTTACACTTTAATATTCAGAATACTATAAAAAAGAAATCACATAAAAAAAAAATATTTTTGAGACTTAAAATTGTTTCTAATATTCGTCCAAATATCACTTTAAAAAAAAGGAGATTGAATTTTTTCGATTCTATTTATATTAAAGAAAATCTTTTAGAGGATACAATGGAATACATGAAAAGTGTAATTGAAATATTACGGGAAATGTTTTTTTCAAAAAACGTTTAATTAGTTGAATTATTATGCTTTTTTGCAGAATCATGACACTAGTGAAGATTAATACTTCGACTTTTTCAAAGATGATATTGATTATATGAATGTGGACGAAAATTTATATGAATTTCTAAATAATTTTTCTTTAGTAATATAAGTATAAACTGTTCACTAATTGATCTCAATAACTGAATTGAATATTACCATGAAATGATTTGTGGTAATGATGAAGATTCGAATATATTTTATTTTGATTCATGATTAGAAAATAAATCAAAAAATAATTTTGAAATAGATGAAGAATATGAAGTATAGAAACATCTTACTTGTGTAAAAGTCTCTCTTTTTTTTTTCGTTTATTTTACTTATTTTTGAATAAAAATGAATTGAAAATAAACTATTTTTCTATTAATACAAACATATGAATATATGTAGTGATATACTAGACTCATCGTCTTTTTTTTTTATTTATATACAGATTATTGTTCGACTTTTCACCTCACACATAGGCGTGAAGAAAAATATAAGCAATATTAAAATGTATTAGTTTATTAAAGTTTGAAAGAAAAGAAAATTGAAATAGTATATGTACATCTAATTTTAACGTAAACTTTTGAAAATATCATAAGTTTCTTTGCCATTAATATCAGAAATATTTTCGAAATATGTCAGATAAGATATTTATAATATTTGTAAAAAAAAAAAGAAGCATTTGTGCACATAATTTTTTTTTAAAAGAATTTCCAAACACTAGAAAAATAGGTGAAATTTATTTCAATAGATTTCCAAAAAACATTTACATATTAAAATTAGATAAAGAATGCGCTAAAATCTAGGGATTGAACTATACAAGAAGAAATTAGTTCATGTCTAGACAATGACCGTTTCCCTTATATATTATGTGCGTTGTGTCCTTGTCCAGGGTACAACGTGTGTTTCCATGTGGTTTACAGTTCTACGCTGTTCTAGAACATTCCTTTTATTACGAACTAATATTTTTCTTTTCGTTTATTATATTCATTTCGTAATTTATTATATTCAAGTGAACATCATCTTTTAAGTAAGGTTTGTGATTATCATAGTCTGAATTTCTTGTTATCCGCTATCGTTTTCATTAATTAAAAAATATACTTTTATCGATCATAATTATTTAATTATAATATAAAAATGTCTCTCTGAAATAAACTACAATATTTTAAGATTTCTTTAATATAAGAGAGGAAAAAAAATTTAACTATTCGCTCTAAAGTTTGATAAATCATTTCATAAAAAACTAAAATCAAAATATGAATATACTTTTTTTTTTGTTTCAAATATCTTTTGCTATAGCAGATAAATAATAATTCATACAATGCAAACCAAATTAATTAAAACTGTTTGTAAACGTGCTGCATTAATGCGCGCACCATATGCACAATCATCATGGACAACCAACACCCGTCCCATTAAGAAGAAAATATCAACACCTCGAAAAAATGCAATTAGTGTTCAAAAGAATAAAATTAACAATAATAATAATAATAATAATAATAATAATAATAAATTATTAAATAAAAAAGTATGTTTCGATCAAAAGAAATTTTTTTTTTATTCGTATTATTTTTTTTTATTTATAAAAATTAGATTGATATCGATGACAAAGCTGCAAAACAAGATGAATATGACAAATAAAAAAAAATCAATTATAGTAAAACAAACTTTTTATATTTTATATATATATATATATATTTTTTTTTTTGAACTTCTTTTTGAATATATATTTGAATTTGTGATTGTCTTTTTTCTTTTTTTTTTTGTTGAATAAACACATGGTGGCATACATAATGTATGGTTACATTCTAAAATGAAGATTATGTTTATTTAATTTATTTATAGTGTTAATGAATTATCATGATTGTCTAGCAACATTATTTTCTTCATTAATTTTGTATTGTCATTATGTTTTAGATATGACTTCATTTAATTTTAGTGATTAATGATCTTTCTAATATTCTTATTTATATTCACGATCGATATTTACACTGATTTAATTAACTCCAGTAAAGATTATAATATTACATTTGATTAAAATAAAGTTTATTATTTTAACATTTAATATTTACCTTTATACAAATACTTTTACAAAAAAAATTAATAAATAATTAAATTTTTTTTTAGATATTTATATTAAAAAAAAAATAATTATTTACCGTCTAAAATACTTATAATGTCGTTAACAACATCACAACAACAACATGTGAGCAAAAAAAATTAAAAGAAACTGCATCATTTTCAAATATTTTTTTTTTAGAGTAATATACTTAAACGTTACATGGAACTAGTTCAACTACTTGAACTCAATGAAAATGGAAGAGTAAAATCAAACATTAATTTAATATTCATAATCTATTATTTTTTCATTCATTTAGTATGTTTTACCATTTGCTCGTCGATTGATTCTTATTGATCGTCCACCTAAAAAAACGTACGAAAAGAAATTCTTTCTAACAAAAAAAAAATTCTTTCTATAATATTTATGTTTTTTATTTTTGTTTTTTATTTTTTAGATCTGGTAACAAACATTATGATTCATGTATGCTATGTCAACGTCAACCATATGAACCTACACCATCAACAACACCATCTTCTTTATCAAGTTATGAACACAATACAACATTTGACTCATCATCATTACCCCCTTCTCCATTTGTTTGTGATCCTTATGAATCTTATGATTGGGAATGTTAAAAAATCTTTTTTTTTTGTTTTTGTTTCTTTTGTTTTTCTGTTTTGTAAATATATATTTTTTTTTCTTTGAAAACTATGAATATGTGAACTTTTTTCTTTTTTTTGAAAATAAAGCATTTGAAATTGAATCATGAATTTACTGCTCATTGATATATATTAAGATTTTTATTCGTTCATAGTAAAAATATACATGAAGTTTCATAATATAAAATGAAATAATATAATAAAACAATACGATAAATCATATATAAGAAAAAAAAAAGAAGATTTTCAGCTACATGCAGTGTTTCATATAATTATAAAATTTATTTTTAATGAATGTAAAAAAATAGAGAAATTTCAAATGTGCAAAACTAGAAATATATCTGAAAAAAATAGGATAGAGTTAAATAGTTTTCTATTGATTTCGGAAGAGTTAGTTGAGAAATACTAAACAACTATTTATCATTTTTTTATTTTAAAATATTGAAGAATATATTGCACATAATAGGCATTAGTTAAAATTAAAAAAAAAGAAAAAGAAAACTTTCGATTTTCATTTCTTACGCCAATTTCGAAATTTTTTGTATGTATTTTATGCAAAATTTGAAAAAAAAAATTACGAATAATGTGAAGACAATCAATAATGTTTATTCAAATACATAACGTAGAAACTAAAAATAAACAAATAAAATATATGTGAAATATGATATAAATTGTTTTTCTTACAAGACACAAAAGTTATAAAAAATTTTACAAATATTTTGAAAAAAAAAGAAAAAAAACAACGTAAAAAAAAATTGAATTCTATATGAATATATGAAATACGCCGTGGGATGTCCTGTGACTATTCATATATCGAGTATGTCCTAGTCATCGTGATCATATCATCTATAATTGAATACGCCGTCGTCTGTCCTCTGACTATACATAGATCGACTATGTCCTAGTCATTGTTATCGAATTATCTATAATAGAATACGCCGTGGCATGTCCTTCGACTGAATCATTCCATGTGTTTATAACGTTGTATACAACGGGACAGCCCACTTGGTATCGCGTTGCCTATAAATAGTCCGAAATTTCTTAGTTTGAATTCATTCGAAGATTAACACAACAGCGATCACATCAATTCAATTTCAACATTAACAACTACAATAACAACAGCAATTACATACAATAAATAGAATAAGGTTAGTTTCGTTTTTTTTTTATAATTTTTTTTTCTTAATTTCATATATATATGTATACAATGTTTTATTCTATTATAATACAATGTTGTATGCTAACATATATATATTCGAAATTAAAAAAAATATTCGTACATATTATATAAATACTGTTATTTATAATATAATTTTCATTTTCTATTTATTTATTTTTAGATACATTTGAAAAAAATCATGCATATTCATCAAGAAAAAAATTCAATGAACAAGTCAACATCGACTGTAAATAAAGAGGTAAAAAAAAAATTTTTTTTCTAATATTATATATGTATTATTTTTTTTCATAGGTGCAACAAACACAACAACAACAACATACTAGAGTAATAATGGAATATCAATATGGACAAAACACTCATTATTTTGGACTTCAACATTTACAGAAGCCATTACAAGGAAAAGAATTATTTGGAGAATTAGAAGACGAATTATGGAATGAGTTAGAAAAACTCGAACAACATGAAGAACAACAAAAAGAAAAGAAAAGACAATGGGAACAACATTGTTTAGATTTATTTGAATCTTATGAAGAATTGAATGAAGATAATATGGAACCTCAAAGACAAAACACTCCAGTGGAAAATATGGACGACGATGATCAATGTAATATAGAGCCATCTACCGTTCAACATGTTGAAAAAATTAATTCAGATGTCAGTCTTGGACAACCTGCTTTTATTCAAGCATTTGAACGTTTTGGTGTATATGAACAATAAATTAAAAAATTATATTTTTGTGAGCATTTTGTAACTATATAGAAATTTTTTTTTCATTGTTTCATTGTTTTTTGTTTTGTTTATTGTGTATAAATTTTTTGTTATATTATATAAAAGTGAACTTATTTTTCTGAATTTTTTTTTTTCATATTCATTTTTCTAATGAACTTTTTTTATTCTAGATAAAAATATTTAAAATGAATGGAAATTCAACTATGAATTTAGAAACGTTAAAAACTCCTAGTCAAGATGCACAAGGTCGATGGTATGAATTATTATCACCAACACAAGTGCTAACTGGACAACAACAACAAACACATATAAATGAACAACCTACAAAAAAGAAAAAATGTCGTGGTGATCGAAAAGGACAACGTCAACGTCGACGACTTCGTCGAAAAGATTTATATTTAGAAAAAATAACTAAAAATAATGATCAACAACTTAATACTCAACAATTGGAACAACATGATCAAATTGTCGAAGTAGATTTAACAGACAAAATGGAAGTGAATGGATCATGTGATCAAGTAATTTTTTTATTTCGTTTTTTTTAATGTACATGTACTAATTAAGATTCCTCCTACGACACAAAATAAAATTCATCATAATGATATTAAAATGAAAAAATCAACAAAACGAAAAAGAAGAGATATTTCATCACAACCACCATCGACTACAATTCATCAATCTTTAAGTCAATTAACAATTTCTCAACCATCGCCTAAAAAACAAAAGAAGATAAATAATAATATAGAACAAGCAACTACAAATGGGCCAGCAGAAAAAAACAATTCAAAATCTAAAAATAATAACAATCATAATGATAACGTTTCTTATGTACCTGATTATTTAAAAGTATCATATCGTATTTTTAAACAAATGTTAATTAGTTCATTTGACAATGCAAAAGATATTGTAAAAAGATTAAACTCAAAAGAAAAAATTAATTATATTCGACAATATACTTGTTTAATTCATCGATTATTTTATGTACAATTACAAGAAAGTCAATGGAAATATTATTATGATATTGGTACACAACAAAATATTTGGTCAGGACGTGTATCAAAAAAATGGGCTGCTATGAATAGTATGAATTATACTTATGGTCGAACAAAAACATTAATTGAACAACGTCTTAAAACTATTCAACGACAACTTCAACAAGCATCACAAGCATTACAAAACTTTGGTAATCAACCATTACCTCAATCTATATCAGATATGAATCCTCCATTAGATTTTACAAAATTGAATGCAATTGTTACAGCTCTGGTGCGTAAGGGTCAACATAAATTAACGCAACAATTTGAACATAATAAAAAAATGTTAACATTTGATTCAACAGATCATCGTTTAGTACAAGAAGTTTATAATTTGAAACCTAGTCAACAACAAATTCGTTGCATTCGAAATATTTGGAAAGCACTTGAAAATAAAAAACAAATGGAAGAACAAATACAAATATTAAAACATCGTATTCATTCAAATTGTTTACCACCAGCATTCAATCTTCTTGATTATTCACTGGACAAAATTGATCACATACTCACTCGATCGAAACAAGATTATATCCATAATAATGATAGCAAACAAAAAACAATATTAAATGCACGTCGTTTAAAAAAAGTGGGTCGATTTAAATTTGACTTGCTTGAATTAAGTATAGCTGCTGGTGAAGAAAAAATTCGATATTATGATAAAATAATGAAAAAAGAAAAAACAAAATTAATTAATGTCACGAATAAGTTAAAAAATAATAATCCAACTTCTGATATTTTTAAACAGATAATCGTAGCTATAGAAGCACGTGAAAAACATATGATAGAACGTGCTGATTATGTTTCACAACAACGATTAAAATCTTTTTTCGACGAAGCTCCGGCACCACAAGACGATATCAAGAACAGCGATGGTGTCGGAGCCAATCAAAATTAATTATGCGAAATCATACTGATATGTTTTTATGTTTATATTTTGCTAATACAATTATACCATTTTCGAATGAACAATTAATGATTATCAATAAAGGTTTAAAATTTATTCCACCATGTCAAAATCATTTATTGTCAAAAAAACCAATGAAACAATTTATTAAACAGGAATATAAAAGACTTTATGATGAAAATGTTAAAAATCTTACTGATTATACTTTTCCAACTGATGATACACGAGCGAAAGAATATTTCCTTGCCATTAGAACTTTACTTGAACAACTTTATATGAAACCTATACCAACTAAAATTGCAAAAAATGCACGATATTTAAGTCAAATGATAAAATCAATGCAACGAAAATTACGGAAAGCTAATATTGCTGTTGGACAAACTGATAAAAGTAAATTATTTTTTTTTATTGATGCACAAGATTATGAAGAAAAAATTAAAAATTATATGGATAAAACAAATGCTTATCAAGAAATTACAAGTGGTATTTGCCCACTAGCTGATAATTTACATTTAGTAATATTATTACTTGATCATTTACGTGACCGAAAGGATATTACCTATGAACAACATAAAAAAATGTATCCGAACATAAAAAAATTAGAATTGGCTCATATTTATTTTAATCTTAAAGTTCATAAGGTAAAAGAATTGATTTCATTAGATATAATTAAAGTGTTTTTTTCCTAGCCTGTTATATCAGTTCGACCTATTGTTGCTTCCATCAATGCACCAGCAAGACTTATATCAAGTTTTTTAGATCAACTTCTTACTCCAATATATAATCATGTGACTAAAGATATTACATTTATTAATGGTATAGATGTTGTTCGAAAATTAAAAGAATATCAACGACAAGGTCATCTCACTTCAACAACATTATTTGTTATATTTGATGTAGCTGATTTATATACAATGATCCCACGTGATGGTGCTATTGCTGCTTTAACTCGATTTTGTGAAAAAAATGCCATCAATGGAAAAATTGGCACTCTTAAAATAAGTACTATTATTCAATTAGCATGTGTTGTTTTAGATACAAATTCATTTGCTTACAAAGATAAATATTATCGCCAAATTAAAGGTGGTGCTATGGGTTCACCTTTTACTATGGTGTTAGCCAATATTTATATGTTAGAATGGGAACAAAAATTAATTCAACATCAAAAAATAAATAATGGTATATATGGCCGGTATGTTTTTTTTATTTTTTTTTAAACTTCTTGTCTGTTTTATAATTATAATAATAAATACTTGTAGATATATTGATGATGTATTTATGACAAGTAATTTAAACAAAGAAGAAATTTTAAAATTACTTGAAGAAACAACTCAAACAGATTCAAATATTAAAATTACAACTACAATTAGTCAAACATTAGATTATCTCGATGTTACAATAGAAAATAACAATGGAGATTTAAAAACTTGTATCTATCATAAATCAGCATCTGAACCTTATATTTTACCGTATTCCTCAGATCATCCACGACATGTTCATATGAACATATTAAACAATGCATTAGTTCGAGCAGCTCGAATGTGTTCAACTGTTGAAGACTTTGATATGGAACGATTAAGTACTGAGATGATACTATTAGTCAATGGTTATCCACCAAAATTTATACAACAACATATGACAAACTTCTTCATCAAATATAATGCTATGAATGTGTGGACTGAATTAAATAGTGAATCGTATCAACAACTACATCATGAATTACTTTATAAACCTACAAGACGAGAACAAAAAGTTCAACTTGAAACAAATGGTACACCTTTGAAAAAGCCGACAAATTATGAACATAAAGATCAAATTTATTTGCATTACACATTCGAAACTGGCCCATTAACAAATTTCAAAAAAGAATATCGTCAAATATGGGAAAAATACTATGTCTATCCAGGTTCACGTTTAAGAAATACAAGACTGATTCTTGGTACAATATTAAATCGAACATTACAAAGTCTTCTAATACACAAGAAACCAAAACGAGACATATTGACAAAAATGGAATCGACAACACCGGCAGCTTCTTGAACAATTCAACGCCTGTTACTTATTGAATCATTACAGGAAAGTGTAATAAACATTGTATTTTTTCGTGTTTATCAATTTGTCCAGTGTAAATGATACATATAATTTACTTTTTTTCTTGTTCACTTTTTTCATTTTACTATGTACTTCCACATTCTTCAAGTTCAGATTTTTTCTTAATCTTTTTTTGTATATGTCCTTGCTCTGTAACTCATTACCAAAAACCTAAAAATATCATTGTTTCATTGATTACTTTACTTCTATTTTATATTTCATACCCATATTTTTTTTCTTTCTTTCAGATAATAAAATTTATTTCAAATTCATCTTAAACATATACACAATAATGTTCAACAAGATGAACGACGACTTCATATTCCAGATAAATCAGAAGGCTCAATTTTGTCGGAGCGCCGCGACTACAACAAACCCATGATGATGAAACAAAACAATTGACAAAAAAAGGGTAAGCCAATGGACTCATAATGACATAGGCGAAACTAACCTGACGACTATTTACACTAAAATAGAACTTTCCTTAAACGCTCTCTTATTTTCAAAATTCTAACTTTTCTACCATGACTGTTTAAACAATAAAACATCCGTATATTATAAATTTAAATCTGTTTATAACTTGCTCGTAACCTGAATAAATACAAGGAAAACAAGAATTTAACTGAAACACCTATGCTCTAAATAAAACAAAAACATCAGCAGCAGCGAAACAAAAGCATCGTGTAAAATTTTTCTCCATTTAACTTTGAAAAGAAAAGTCTCCAACAAACCTATACCTGTGAGCAAATTTGTTGGGTCATAGTTATATATACTTTGTACCCGATAAATATTAAATCGTGATTAATATAAGCTTGAAAGTTATTCCTATATAGCTTTTAACTTTTGATAATCATATTAGGAGAATTATTATTAATATCTATTCAATCACAAAAGCAATTGATAAGTACTTCTTCAGCACTTGTCGAAACCGGTCTTGCTAGCTAATATGATTGAAATTATATCAATATGATATACATATTCAACACACCCACACCCACACCCACACCTCTTAACTTCTCGGTTTATCTGATCCAGTTATGATTCTGCTATGTAAGAATAAATTCTCGATTTGTCCGTAGAGTACCTTCAGAAACGTCGAAACGTGTCGAGTGATGCTCTCAATCTTGATAAGTCTTTAATAATAAAATTCAGTTTCAAAATTCCTACACTTCGTCAAAAAAATTGCTTTCATATGACAGTGTAGAAGATATTTTAATTGATTCTTGTAATCGATTAAGATGCCTTAAGCCACTTGAAAAGTCCCTTAAGCAAGGACCAAACCGGTCGTGGTATGCTTCCTAGCTTGATCTTCGTGATCATACAAAATTATATACTTTTATGTGATTCAAGCCAACTGATGAGACCCTTAAGCAAGGTCGAAATCTAGATCATGGCATGCTTGAAACACCACTGCCATAACGATATCTATCGATTACTAACTTGGATTTAGATTTAGTTTTTACCTAGATCTATCTGTAAGTTACTAATACTGTATAGATTATTATACCTTATTTATGCTTTCTATTGAAATATATAGAATTAATTCGAAAAAGTATAGCAGAATCATAGCCATCTGATGAGACCCTTAAGCAAGGTCGAAATATAGACCATGGCATGCTTGACACACCACTGTCAAAAGATTTATCGTTCTACTTATTATTAGTAGAACAGTATAAATTGAATTTTGTGATTTTATTCTTTATTGAATTGAATCATAAGATTCTAAAGCCACCTGAAGAGATCTTTAGCGAGATCAAAACGCGTCGTGGTAGCTATGACACACCACTACTATAAGGATATCTACTACGTTTGATAATCTTGCAAGAATTTTATATTGTTGTTCAAGTTTGTCCTACGTTGTGTAGATTATATAGCTTATCTATGATTTTCGTAATCATTCGGATAGCTATGCAGTCAAAACTACCTGATGAGACCCTTAAGCAAGGTCGAAATCCGGATCGTAGTTTGCTTAACACACCCACCCAATATGTCGCTTAGGATGTTACAAGCATATTTTGTTTATAAAAAAAATGTAACGTAAAAAGTTTCACTCAAGATTAGTAAAATGACCATAACATTGTTATAGATTTATGTACTTCGAACTATGTTTTTCTTTTTCATAATATAGCTCTTATCTTTCTCTACAAAATCACATAATTTGATCAATAACTTCATAGAAGTTTGTTGTAGATATCATAGATTTACCGAGAGAGGTGGGCACTTTTGGATCACCCTTTAATTCTGACAGCTTACTCACAATGTAGTTTTATCTTGATTTGGGTTCTTTGTAATTCAAATAGATTAAAGCCGTCTGAAGTCCTCTTAGCTAAGGCGAAACGCGTCATCGTAGCTGATGCTACATTTGATGAGATCCTTTTGCTAGATGGAAATCTGGATCATGGTTTGCCACACTCAGCTTTAAGACTAAACCTTTCTACTAAACTTTTTCTACAACAATTTAATTTTACTCCAAATTGTATTGCATGACAATGTCTTGTTTACTTAAAAGAAATATTAAATGCCACAGGCACCGTTGAAAGTTAGCTATGGCTGAATGTAAATTAATTTTCTATCAAGATATTTCTCGAATACGTTTGTCAATTATC